TATTTTAGATTTTACCTAAAAAATGATTTTAGGAAATCTGAGCTGATTGAGACGATTGAAGTTTCTTTTAGACCCGTTAAATCTGCTGCAGATGTTGTTGGATGTAAACTGAAACTGAGTTAAAAGATTGATGTTGCTATTGCAGTTTTTTATTTTAGTGTTTAACTTTCATTGTACAGGATTGATGTCTCATATGTAACAAAGGTTTAAATATTTTTAACAGTTTTGTGCTTAAATCCACCCAAACTTTCCATGAGGTGAAATGTGTCTAATTTTTTATGCCTTGTAATGAATTGTTTGTCTTCAGAGGGCCGTGGGGAAGCTTGTCCCGTCGTTTCCTCCTACATCCTCCACAACTCCTTGGCTTACGGAGCCGACTGGTCCAGGCTGTCCCTCGATGCCCCGGCGCCGCAGTCCCCTCCTGCCACAGAACCAAAGCAAAGCCTCGCAGAGAGCAGGGGACATGTAAGGATTCAGTACGAGTCTCCTACGGCCAGCTTTGACACCTCCCTTGAGGACGACGCAGGACGTTACATCCCAGAGGCCGTGGTCACGTCCTCCACCGGCCCTGCTGCACCTCCAGCTCCCAACCCTGACCAGGATGCCCCCTCGCTGTCCTGTCTGCTAGCTAGCTGCTCTTTCTACGACCATATGCTCCACGTGTGGCGCTGGGACTGGACTCCTGAGGAGTCGGATCAACACTGAACTGCGGTGACATCTGCAGGCGTATAGATGCATCCCATAATACCCTGTACAGCTCAAAGAATGCAACCTCCTTGTAGCCGAGTCTCCTTCTACACCTAAACATGTTTATTAAGCAGAAACCTATTTTGATTATGATGCTGTTTTTATAATAAACGCTTTATGATCCTCATATGTTTGTTCTTACTTATAACTCCACTAGATTTAACTTCATGGTGAGGGGAGTAGATGGTGGCACTGATTAAAAAATATGTATATTTTACTCTACTAAATTAGTCTTCCATTGAAACCTTTTTACGTTTTCATTTAAATGCTTTTTTTCAAAATAACTGCGCATTTCTGAACAATCCATTTAAAGATGAATTTATGTTTATCAGTAAGCTGTGACTAATCTGGGATATAAATATACCAAGACTCCAACTAATTAATATTTTGCTAATTAAATAATCTGTACATTTATTTTTTGGATAATCAGACAGCAAAAGGAGCTTTATTTTAGATCTTTTTTTACAGAATTGGAATCGGGTGAAGCTAAAAACTAGCAACTGGTTAGAATATATTTACAAAGTTATTTTTTTTTTGAGTCTTTACAGCACTAGTGGCTGTTTTTTTGGACAGTAGGCTGACAGGAAATGGGGGATGAGAGAGAGAGAGAGAGAGAGAGACATGCGGCAAACTTCGAGGACCGAGGTATATATGGGTCGTGTGCGCTAACTGAGTCACCAAATCACACCCTAGATTTTTTTAATGCTAAATGTTTATATTTGTGTAGTTTTGGCTTCATTTCTGGACTGAGGGGGGTTGTTCTTTCAGCAGACTTTACATTTTAGTTTATTCAACTAAATGACTGATAAAAAAAATCAAATCTTTGCTTGTAATAATAATGGAAAGTTGTGAAAAAATGAATCCCAAAGGTGGGCAATTTTTTTTCATTTTTAAATTATGTTGCAAGTGAATTGGGCTTAAAGTGTGGCACAAACCCACTCCACAGTACACTACATGGTGATGGGGGAGGAAAAGAGCTCAAGATTTGACATCCTGGGGTTACCATGGCAACAATACAACAGTACATGCCAACAGGTGCCTTGATGAGGAAATATTTCCCATCAAAGATTTGACTTTAGTTTCCTAAACTTCTCTTATACTTTTATTAATTTAATGTTTATTTTTTTAGGAAATTAACACAACTAAAAGGAAATGTGGATATTATTTCTCAAAAACCTAATTAAGAAGCACTTTTGCTTCATTAAAAAAAAATTTACTTTTAATGACATCAAGCCTATTTATACAGTGAAGAAAATAAGTATTTGAACACCCTGTTATTTTGCAAGTTCTCCCACTTAGAAATCATGGAAGAGTCTGAAATTATCATCATAGGTGCATGCCCACTATGAGAGACATAATCTAAAAGAGAATATATCCAGAAATCACAATGTATGATTTTCTTAGCTATTTACTTGTATGATAAAGCTGAGTATTTGAACAACTGAGAAAATCAATGTTAATATTTGGTACATTAGCCTTTTTTGGCAATTACAGAAGTCAAACGTTTCCTATAGTTTTTGCACAAACTACAGGAGGTTTTGGTCCACTTTTTTTCCAGCTTTTTAATGTCATTACACTGTCCAAGTACAGAGCAACGAAATTAACTCTCTGCATTTAACCCATCCCCTGGGGAGCAGCGTGAGGTTAAGGGTCTTGCTCTGGTTACACAGAATGGCAGGCTGTGGGAGTGGGGCTCGAACTCAGAACCTCAGGATTCCAAGCGCAATGCCCTAACCACTAGTTCGCTGCAAAGATCCACACAGATCTTCTCTAGATCAGTCAGTTTTCTGGGCTGTTGCTGAGAACACAGAGTTTGAGCTCCCTCCAAAGATTCTCTATTGGGTTCAGGCCTACAGACTGGCTAGTCCACACCAGAACCTTGATATGCTTCTTCCAAAATCATTCCTTGGTTATCCTGGCTGTGTGCTTTGGGTCATTGTCATGTTTGAGGACCCAGCCTCCGCCCATCTTCAATGCTCTAAGGAAGGAGGTTGTTCCTCAAAATCTCCCAATACACGGCCCCCGGTCATCCTCTCCTTAATACAGTGCAGTCGCCCTGTCCCATGTGCAGAAATACACCCTCATGCTTCATAGTAGCGACTGTGTTTTTAGGATGGTACTCATCATTCTTCTTCCTCCAAACACGGTTAATGGAAATATGACCAAAAAGTTCTATTTTGGCCTCACTTTCTCCCAGGACTCCTCTGGATCATCCAAATGCTTATTGGCGAAATTAAAACGCACCTTGACATGAGCTGGTTTAAGCAGGGTAACCTTCCTACCATGCATGATTTTAAACCATGGCATCTTACCAACAGTAACCTTGGAAACGATGGTCCCAGCTCTTTTCAGGTCATTAACCAGCTCCTCCTGTGTAGTTCTGGGCTTATTTCTCACCCTTCTTAGGTCATTGAATTCTTGCACGGAGCCCCAGTCTGAGGGAGATTGGTAATCATATTTAGCCTCTTTTCCATTTTCAAACGATTGTTCCAACAATAGACCTTTTTCACCAAGCTGCTTGGCAATTTCCCCGTGGCCATTTTGAAGGCAGACTAACAGGTATTTGAGGGTCAGAATTATTGCGGATAGGTGTTTGCAGCTGTATCATTCATTAATTCATTTGCTATTTTCAGCAATTTGTGACGGATTATTCACTTTAAACAATGATGTAAACAGACATTGTTTACATCAACATGTAGGGACCACATTGAGCAAGGTAATGTTATATTTTCTAATTATGTTTATGTTCAAGATCGGCCTGTTTTTCAGTGTAGGCCTGTTTCTCTGACTGGCTGGATGTGCTCGTCCTCTGACATGGCAGCTGCCTTGGAGTTCGTCTGCCTGGCTGTGCGTTTCCTTTTACACCTCTACTTCTGTCTCCTTGAACCCCAGTCGGCCTCAGCAGATGGCCGCTCACACTGAAACTGGTTCTGCTGGAGGTTTCTTCCTGTTAAAAGGGAGTTTTTCCTCTCCGCTGTTGCTAAAAGAATGCTTAGTGTGAGGGATTGCATTTGAGTCTGAGTTGATGCAATCAACTGGTTTTCCTTAGACAGAAAACTTTGAATCAATCTGACTGTAGGATCTGAACTGTAAAGTGCCTTGAGATGACGTGTGTTGTGAATTGGCGCTATAGAAATAAACTGAATTGAATTAATCATTTGATATGTTAGAAAAAGCTGTTGAATACAAAACAATAATTGTTTTATTGAGCTAACATTTTATATGGCCAAGATATTCAGTTTACTGCAATGAGTCACTCCAGATATTTGTTTCTCCAACATTCTGCGCAGGGTGTTTCAGAGGCTATGCCAAATGTTTTACAATATTAATAAAAGAATTGTGACACCGGAAACAGCAATCTTCAGAGTGGCCAATCAAATGTAACTTTTACAATGAAACAAGTTCATAGTCCTGTGATGATCCTGAAGGTCTTCTGTGCAGATCCACTCAGCCCTTCCTCCTTACCGCACATAGTTCTTAGGATAAAGCTTAAACAGCTTCCCTTCCTGTGTGGCTTCAAATCCATATTTCTCCAGCTGATCTGCGCTGAATGTTCCTTCCTCCATGTCTTTCCTGATCCGGGGGGCCACAGCCTCCTCAAACAGACTCTCTGCTGTCAGCGGGGCTTCTGTTCCCCTCGGTGATCGGTACGAGACGTAAGGTTTCAGTTTGAATCCTTCCAGATGGGGAACCACGAACTCAGGAATCATGGCTCGAATGGAAAGGAACTTCCTGCTGGAGAGTCTCAGACCTGCGGGTCGGGAGCCCCTGCCTTTGTTGTGGGTCCTGGAGCCGCGCTTACTGGTGAACTCAGACATCCTGTCGGCACCTCGAACCAGTCCCCTCATCAGTGTGGACAGAACCCCCATGGTTCCCGGCTGGAAACACGAGAACGCATGAAGAAAAGACAGCTGTTAGCATTAGCATGCTGTTACACAATTAGCTACTCGAACTTCTATGAACCACGCAGTGACGTATTTAGCTCTGCACCAGAAGCCATTTTTATTTGTTTAGTTGAAAAAAATTAAGTTTTAAAACGGTCTCATGTCCAAATGGTATTTAACATACTCACCTTGAACACACTGTTAAACAGGAACAAGTGCGTAGCGCCGCCAAATGAAGTGCGCGCTGATTGGCCAAGAGAACGAGCCTATTGACCAATTAAAACACGAGATACTGGCACAAGCTGTTTTTGATTGGAGGAGAGTTCAGTAAAGCTGGGATTTCTGCTCGCCTGTGCTGCAAGAACAAATCAAATGTTTTTCAAAGTAATTCATTTTAGAAAAAAGCATCACTTTACCTCAGGGATTAATAACCAGTCAATACTTTTGTCCAGAGGGAATCCACTGTTACTGATGACGATATGATAGATGATGTTTATCTCTCCTGAAAAAAAATATAAAAGTATAAACTTTACAATTATTTTTAAAATTAGTTTTATCTAAACACTTTTGGTGAAAGTATTTGAAGATAAACCTATTATATGTTTGTTTTATCAGGGATGTATCTGGTTTAACTTCTAACACATTACTGGCCTGGTGACATTTTTCGTTCCTACCACCACCCTGAACCCCAAACAATGTGACCATCATGGATCTGGAGGATAATCTGAGCAGATCCAAATCATGCTGTTGAGTTCACAGCCAGCCCATTCACCACTGCAAAAGTCTCCTCTGAACACATACCGAACAGGAGACTGTTTACTGAGCAGGGTTTACGCTGCAGATATAAGGGAGCTTTCTGCTCTGATAAAATATGAGCCATGAATCAAAGGTATTTTGTGAAAAGGGTGAATATCTCTATTGCCATCTGTGCTGCATTAGTTTATTTTTTTTATAACTGTCTTTGCACCACCTAAACCTGTTTGTTTCTTCCCAACAAGAGATAAGTAGTCAAATAATTACAAGAATAGAGTAGAATAGAAAATCCCTTTATTGTCCCACAATGGGGAAATTCTGGTGTTACAGCAGCAAAAAGATTATAGAAAAAATGCTCACACAAATGTGGACCTTAGAAAAGTCTATAAAATAACATAATAGTGAAGAGTTAAACGATGAATAAGATACCGTACTGTAAAGTGTGTTAACAATATAAATACTGTGCACCTGGAGAATAAATAACCAATATACAGCTATGAACATTTTTACAGTAATGGGTATTTGAAAACAGCTGAAACATCAGAGATGTGCAAAATGACAGCAGCAAGTTATTTAACTACTTTCATTACTCTGTGGGATCTATTTATTCAGAAAGGTGCCATTTAAATGCTGTTAAGAAGAGTTTGGTTCTGCTAAAGGGAATCTCTTATTTAAAAGGAGATTTCTAGTGTTTCCATTTGAAGTCAAACTTATACAGGAGAGAAGGAAATTAATTGAAGACTTAACAAGATCCATTTCTTTTTAATTTTTAGGTATTTGTTGTTGTTTAACATGTTCAAAGTAAATAAACTCAACCTGTATGATTTACCTAGCTTGCTTTAAAGAGTTTAATTGAATAGGGGTTAAGTTAGAAGAACCACAGTGTACTTTTGTCCTGATTGAACTGCTTCATGTGTGTTTTGTCCTCCCTTGGAGGAAGGGGGAGATGATAGGATGAGGGACAACGGTCAGCACCCCCCTCCTTGGACATCTTGTGCAAAACATTACCAACTGTCACTTATGTGCAATATTCTTCTCTCTCAATATGCAATTACGCATGCCAACTACTGTGTAGCCTGTTTTCTTTTTTACATTTTTATATGGTCAGTACATTTCTGCAGTGCAAGTGCAATAATCCAAGTCAATTACTGTGTAGTCTTCCTTTAGCTCTCTACTGTGCCGATATTTTCATATCTAAAGAAAACATATTCCAGGACATTACAACTTTTTTATGCTTTTTGTATTATATACGCTATTTTTTTAAAATTGTCTGTTATATTTTTATCTATAATGGCATCTTGCTCTGGTATTCTATATAAGCTGCTGGAACCAGAATTTCCCTGAAGGAGTAATCCCAAGGGATAAATAAAGTCTAAAGTCTAAATTTGTAGGCTGGAGGTTTCTTCCTATTAAAAGGGAGTTTTTCCTCTCCACTGTCGCTACAAGCATGCTTGGTGTTCGTGTTTGCCTTAAGTTAATGATTCAATGCATTCGACTGGTTTTCTTTAGATAGAAAACTTTGAATCAATTTGAATGGATGATCTGGTTGAATTATATCTGTAAAGTGCCTTTTGAATTGGCGCTATATAAATAAACTGAATTGAAATTTAGTCTCTACACTTGGTAGCACCTGTCTTTTGATGAGGATAATTATGGAGTTCATCTAAAATATTTTTATGGTTAATTATTTAATTCAATAATTTAGCGGGAAAAAAAACAACTCCAACTCAGTCTGGTTATATGGATGATTTGTTTAGTTTTAACTTGTAGATACTATTCCAAGGTATACGGTTGACACTTTGTTGAATAAGCTGCCATATTATAGCGGTTATTACACTTTTATTGTATTTTAGAAACACTCTGAAGTTAAAACTCAGAGTGGAAGGAGGAATTTCTGCTTATCCAAAAAGACATGACTATTAGCAGCTAGCCTTTCAGTTTAACAACTTTTAGGTCACCGAACAGGCTCTTATTTTGAAAGGTTGGCAGGAAGTGATGTACCGTAACTTCCACCACAGCTTTTATTTTCTAATAAGGCATGTCTACAAAATATCCTTGAAGCAAAACAAGGTGCGTATGAGAACACTTTGCTTTGTTGTTTTAGAAACAGATTTGTTTTCTTTCATGGATAAGTTTTCCTTTAGCATTAATCAGAAAACTCTTCCTTCACTTTTTCAACCTTTAACCCGTTGTTTTCTTGTTGAAAGTCGACGATATGCACGATTGTAGAAGATACTACATGTTTATAATCTGAGGATAAAGTAAAAGTTTTCACATTGCTTAAAATGAAAGAATCTCTGTAGTTCCTCAGGTGTAAGTGGAGGATAGAGTCGGTGTTTTTAACAACCGACGGGCTGAACTTGACAACCAGCTTAATGAGCTGCTTGAAATATCAAAGAGGTTAAATCCAGTTCATTCAGCTTCTCTCTGCTCATTTTAATGTGTTTAAAAGTCTAATCTTACTCTAAAGCTAAGCAGAGTCACTGAGCTCGAACAAAAGTTTCTGGTTTTTGAGAAATAAACCCAAGATGCCAGGAAAGAAGGTAAACAGAGCTGATAGAGGCGGTGGTTAATGGTCTTTATCCATCTGCGACCTTTGGAACTTTGATCCGGATCCTTTAAGAAGAATTTGTTGAAAAACGGTCAGACATGGAGATGATCTTTAACCCAGATTTCTCAGAGCATTTGCTCCTTCCTCTTCCCTCTCTTGGCTCCCAGGGTGTATCAGCTTACAGCCAAAATCCCTTTAAAAACAGAGGGTGAACATCTTTTAAATATTATTTAGGATAGTAATGGTTTCTCCCCATCAATAAGTTGTTATGATTGTACTGTGATCCCTTTTCTTTTTATTTACCAGGCAGGTATGGGGAACAAGGATAAGGAAGACTACAGTGTGTACCCGGTAGGTCAATATTTTGGCATCATTTGTTTATTTTTTATTGGCTGTTTTCTTTCCTCTAAATGGGACAAGTTCAAATGACAGAAAAAAATGGCACGCCATAAACATTTAATATTGCCCCTTTAGCAATAATTATTATGTTTACATATGAATTATTTAAGCATGAAGGGATTATCTGCAGTCATTGGCACACTACCCAGGGCCTCACAGCCTTGGGGGCGTCCAGAGGACAGGACTTTATTTATTCTGCCCTTGCTGCTTGGTTCAGTGCATTTGTGGATGCACAAAGTTTGCAGATTCAGAAACACTATTTTAGTTTTTCCTCCAGATTTACTCCTGGTCCTTCCAGATTATGGTTGGATTCAATTCAATTCAATCTAGTTTATTTATATAGCACCATATAATCAGAATCTGCATCAAAATGACAACATCAAACCAAAAACACTGCATAATTGCACCATATATATTTAATATTCTGAACTTAAATATCAATGCGTTTGTTTTTTGCACCATGTTTTCCCCCTACACTGTTTACATTTGATCACTGCTGCAATTTAAGAAATGGAAATGTTATGAAAGCTGCTGTTATGAAGTTTTGTATACATTTTGTGTATACGAAATGACAATAAACGGTGTCTAAGGCCCCGTCCACACGAAGTCAAACCCTGGCCTAAAAGCACAAATTTTTCACCAAACCA